TAGTGCCCAGAGTGTGTGATGCTTGCAAAGAAACAGATGAAAATGACAACGAAATTGCTGTCAACCTGTGCAAGAATGACTTCGGTAAGTCCAGCTACCTAATTTATTAGAGCAGTAGGGCCCGGGGTAAAGCTTTGAGCCCCCATGAGACCATGATGTGAGGTCGCAGGAGAATTTTCATGTTTTAGTTCTGTGAAAAAAACGTCTATTGTGACCAAGATTTCTCTCCCCACTTTTAACTCCCCTACTGCATGCGTTTCAGCCTTACGCTTCTCAGATGGTTGTCATTAGGCCATGTCAAAAAGGATTCTGTGTACAAAGTATTCGTGAAACTAGTGCAGTTCTCCTTTCCTTTCTCTTCTACATGCTTTAAGCTCTGAAGATCAAAGTCAAGGAAATTTCCTACATCAACGGTGATACAAAGATTGTGCCAGACTCCAAGAGTAAGACCATTTATAAGCTGAGCGGCGTGACCGAGCGTGACCTGAAGAAGACGGTGCTGTGGTTGAAGGACGGCCTGCAGTGCATCTGTGAGGAGATGAACGACATCAACGCTGCCTACCTGGTCATGGGCCAAAAGATGGACGGCCACCTGGTCATCACCTCGCTGAAGCGCTGGCAGAAGGGACAGCGCGAGTTTAAGAGGATTTCCCGCAGCATCCGTAAGCTTCAGTGCTAGGGAGGGGGCAAATCTGCATGTGTCACTGTTTAGATCAAGCTTAGTTGAGCTTTTCCCCATTTACTCTCTGGATTCAAGCAAAGATGTTTCCCTGGTCTTCAAAGACATACCATGTCTTCCATCATTTATCATAAAAATGCACAAAATCTTAAAAGCTAAATAATATGGGGCACACATAGGCTTATATGACTAAAACAACTTGCATTTTGTTTGACTCTGCAACTATAATTAAAACACTCAAACTATATCAATCAATAAGGACAGAATATTTTAAAAGCCAAGGTAGCTACAACACATATACACAAAACTAATTCTGTCTGGTACACACACAGAGGTATGTAAAAAAAAAAAAAAGTCCTTAGAGTAGCAGTTATGTGAGCTTTTTGTGACTTTCATGCATTGGCTCCCATTCATGTTACACTTTCTGGACACCGCGCGCCCCCTAGTGGCCGGTTTTCAGGTGGTGTGTCTTGCCCTTAGGGGCTGTCTTTGCTGTGGCCTCATTAATTGCAGTTAAGTGCACTCAGCTGGTGTCCCAAGTGCAAAGGTGTCACTAGTTATACGGTCCAAGTAAAATCTAGCAGAAAGTTTTGAATCCGGGTTTAAAATGATTGACTTCAATAATCACTGGCAGATGTGGCCTGCTGTTAAATCCTGCAGATGGGGTGAGTTTGTCATACTTTAAGATATTTTTCTCTTCTCTGCTGGTATCAAAAATTTGTTTTTCTTTATGGACTGTGCCTCAAACAGTATTCAACAATCCACACCTACTTTTTAGAAGTAGTGTTCAGCCTCCACTTGAAACTCCAATATAAAGAACAATTTACATTACAGGCAGCAAAGGCCTTGACTGCTTGAGACAGAACTCTGTGGGTTAAAGAAAAAGAGCTCTGGTGGGGTATTCTGGGGAAGAAAAGTCTTCATAAATAAAGTATTTACATCCTATAAAAATACTTTGACAGTTTGACGGACACAATTACAAAAACTGACCTTGTGTGTTGTGTAATGAGTGAAGCTGTGATGGCCGAGTGCATGATGCGTGTTTTTGTAATCCTACTTTTTTTTCTCAAGCTAAAATGAGAGATAGCCGGCTATATACTTTTCCTGTTCATCATTTTAATCATTATACTTGAGGAACTGCATACTTTTCTACCATAGTATGGTAAAAGTATTTTTTCTACTCCAGACTTTCATATTTCATTTAAACATTTTGTAAAGTTTTGGTTTGCATTGTCATCCAGTTTTTGTTTTTTTTAATGGAAAAACATGGATTTTGGGGGCTAATAATTTGGTTGGTTGTGTTGGGTTGATGAGAAGTAGAAGTCCAGTAATCACATGGGTTGTGTATGCGTGCAATGTAAAGTGTGTGTGGGTTTTTTTTTTTAAAGTATTAGCCTACTGTGTAAATATCAAATCCTGCCTTTTATTCTTGTATAAAGTTTTCAGCTAACAATATGCTTGAAATGCCTCTTTGTTCTAAAGATTAGGCAACATTTAAATTTTTAAGCAGGAACCCAGGGTACTCATGAATAAAATTTTAGGGATAATCGTTATGACCTTTTTATACAAGGGGAAAATAAAATTATAGGATAGTTAAACACCGCCATCTAGTGGATGTTTATGGTAAAACTTGATCATGGGATTTGCAATTAATGAATCTAGGCTTTTCATGCACTTTCCATATCCACTTCTGTATGTTTTTACCACATATCTGAGAAACGTGGCACCTGTTCCTTCCTTTTTTTTTGTACTGATCACAAACCGTGGGTTTGAACAATGCCTTTAAAATATTCCAACAAGAAATTGGAATATACCAAAAGGTACATGTGTTTGCCTTTTCTACCTGTTTTATGTTGTGCTTTTTAAAAAAAAAAAATCTGTGAATATTTTTGCCAAAATAACTTATTTACTTTATACCAAAAGGCAAACACCCTACACAATAATAGATTAGAAAGCAATGATAATTTTGAAAATGATAATAGATTTGAAAATAAAATCCACAGCTGGACCTAGCCATTAGTTTCTATTAATTAACTGATCTATCATTTAGATTATAATATTGACTCAAAGGTGCCATTTTTAATTTGCTTGTTTGTGTGAACAACAGTCCAAGCCAATGCTATTTAATTTATAATGATATAAAATGGCTAAATACAGAACTTTGATACTTGGATAGCTGGAACAACAACATTTTATTATCAGAATTGTTTGATTAATTATCATTTCAGCCCTACAACAAACCTTTTGGGTCATTGTGCAACCTAGTGAAGTAGTTCTCTAAGTCTTCCAGGTATTGTTACTCAGATGACTGACGCTGTACCAACATGTCAGAATGAAACAATCCCCTGGACAATACAGGCAGACTTTCGTACAGTTCACTACTTGCTCAAGGGGTTTCATCAGGTTTGCCCATGGGTGGGGAGTCCCAGACAATTTCACCTCCCTGGGCTGATCAGTGATGAGCTGTCCTGTGAAGTTATAGGAAATGAGAAGGGGTGTAGGCTGTATGGGGAAGAGACCCTGCATTCAGTCACCTCTGTCCCTCTGAAAGGGAACAAAAGTGAACAGTAGCTGGTAGCCAAATGGCAACCTTACTCCCCCCCCCTCCCCCACATGGTTTTACACCACTTCAGGACTCGATTCATATGTGCTCTGATAACTGTCACATGACTACCATACAACTTTGACTCACCTCTTTCATGTGATGTTATGGTGACCCAGAAACACCTGGGACTCCCCAGTGGCCAGAAGAATGTATAAAGCTTTTTTAGACTACCTGAAAGTCTTGTACTTGACTCCTACAGTCTTAAAAGTGGTTTCACTTTGACCTGATAATACTCAGACGTACAATGTTCTTGTGGTATGAGTAAAGTAACAGTGATTTATATATATTAGCTAATTATTGTGTGTTATCTCCTGAAAAAGTTGTACATGTATAAATATATCCTGAATTCAAAGTCAATTAGACTTGGTTAGTCCTTTATTAAGGACTGGGACTGTTACTCAGCTTCAGGTACATTAAAATGTGGCTTACAGCAAAACAATGAGATGCAATACTTTAAACACTGACCTTCAAAATGAACATTTTTACTTTTAAATAGTCTCTACACTTTAAGAGTATAATATTTCACTACTTTTTCACTCTGTGCATCTGTTGCAATTTATATGTAATATATCTGTAGTAGGCTAAAGTTGATGTGTATCATATGAAACGGCATGAAAGAAGAGATCCCTGCTCCCAAAAGTGTGTGTGTGTGTGTGTGTCAGGGAGCTCAAAAGAAAATTAAAATTTAGAGCTGAAAGATTAGTTGATCAACAATAAACGTTATAGACGCTAGTATGACAGATGACTGTCGATTAATTAATAAATAAAAAAAGCTTGCAGATGAATCAATAATTGAGTTGCAATTCTAAGTGTCAGTTTATGGGAGCTGATGTTTAGCCAACTGCTATTTCCTTTGTAGAATACCTGCCTTATCAATATTACTGATAATCATTAAAGCTAAAGCATCACGAGGTCATAAGTCCTGTGGGTAAAGCAGTAAATTTGTAATCTGCTGTTTCCAAAATTTCAGAAAGCAGAAATGCCCCCATGGGATCACTAGACTAGTCATAACTGCGCAATTCAGGTTAACAGAACAATTAAATTGCATCATAATGAAGAACCAGTAGTTGATGCCTTCACAGCTATGGGAAAATCAAACGTCCTAATAGTTTACTGGAGTGTGCCGCTGGGAAATTTGCTGTGACACTAGAAATTACCTGATGTGACGATTGAGTGGGGCATGCGTAGAAACCATGTAAACTACCGTTGGGAAAATTGATGCTCTGGAGTTAGCTTTGTTGTTCCTTGCTAGATAATGGCAAATCCTAGAGGGGACTTGGTATTTTGTAGGTCTTTTTGTGGTTATTTTCTGTTGAAGCCCACCACGGCAAATCTTTAGGTGGGATGAAACGAGTTTGTGTTTAAAAAAAAAATGCACGATATAATTTTTTTTCTACTTCATGCCCAGGTTTTGTGGCCTAATTAGAAAAGCTAACGTTTCTTTTATACGAACAGTTTTTGTTTGCTATTCAAATCCGCTTATATGCGTTGAAAAAACGCACCTCCCGCCTTGGGAGTTCCGGTTTACGACGCCACTGAATGCAGCACCAGCACTCGTTCCTCAGCCCTTGGTGAAACCAAGCTTTAAAACGTTTTGGTCTATAGCTGAGATATGTTTGTTTTTCCTTACCATCTGTAAGATTATTTTCACTCCCAATGACGGTCGACGGTGAATCTTTGCGAGCGGACAGGGCTCAGTTTGACGAAGCTCAAAAAAGTACGTGGGGAAGTTCCCTAGGAAATCCCCCTAGACTGTTCGGGGATATTATTCTCGACACTGATGCGCCACATCTCCGACACAATTGAGCTCCTCGGACCATTTCTGGAGACGCGAGGTTCGGAGCACAGGCGGCAAATGCTGGATTACTAAAAGACACTTTTTTATTCTGTAAAAATCTACTAAGCCTGCAATGGATAGCGTTAGTCTAAACACGGATAACGACATGCTGAAAGACAAACTCCGTAGTTACAGCACCCTGAATACTCTTTATCACGAGACTCGACAGGAAATCGACCTTCTGAACAAACAGATCTATGTAAAGGACAATATTATTGCAGATTTAAAAGCGAGGCTCGGGAGGTATGAGAGGCTCAACATCACAGTGGGAGATAACGAGTCTATGGTCATCGGGCCGTCCAAGTCTTTGGTGGAGAGCTTGTGTAAAGAAATATACAAACTGAAACAGAAGAGGAACGACATGGAGTTCAAAGCATCACGACAAGAAGAGGTAAAAATAAAATGCATTGCAATTGTTTAACATGTTGTTCCATGCAGTTGTGTGTATGTAGATATCTCAGCCTGAAGTTGGCTGCTGGATAAAAGTTAGTACATGGTACACCCCACAGGCCAATTAACAGGAACTAATTAACTTGTACTATTTCATAGTTTAGTAGTTTTTGTCAGTTTAATAGGTTTTCAATTGTGGGTTATTGTCAAGTTCCTAGTGTTTATCATTAGAATGAGAATATGGTCAGTGAAGGCCTCAGACATGATTGAATGACAATGAAACAAAACAGCAATTTATTTTAATTGTACAGAATCTTTTTTTTTTTTTTTTAACACCAACTGATTACACACTATAAACTTGCTCATCCATTTCTTCCTCCCAGGAGACCCAGAGGCTGAAGGTGCAGCTCAGAGAGAAGGAGCTGGAGCTGGAGAGCGTCAGGTGTCAGCCGGACCACGAGAAGGACCGGGAGATCCACAGGCTGCGGTCTGCCTTGGAGGACAGGGAGCGATGCGAGGCTACTAGAGCCGTCCTTTGCACCTCCCTGGCGGAGGAGGCTGATCAGCTCCGCGGCCAGCTTGGTGCAACCGTGAAGGTGTGCCAGGATCTGCTGGGAAGGCTGGAGAAAGAGAAGAAGGGGGGAGAAGTGGAGCAGATGGTTAAGCAACCGAAGTCTAAAGAGGTGTGTGTGTGATGGATGTGTTGTACCCTTTGGGCTTCATGGGGCGACTGCTATCTTTGACAGCTGCTTTCTTTGTTTTGTTGTTTTTGGAGGGCCCTGCTGTAACTTCTTGCACCTTTTCCTACAGACATCGGAGTCTTTTGACATGAGCGGTGTTAATGCCCAAATCCATCAGCTTCAGGAGGAGAATAAACAGCTAAAGCAGCGAGTGACATATGTAAGTCTTTAACAGTAATAAGTTTGTTACAATACTTACTTTGCTCAAATGCATTTTGAAATTAGCAACACCAGAATGTAATACAGAGCAGAGCACATCATCTGATCATCTAATCTTTGTCATAATTTCTCCTTTTGAGGTCCAAGGATTGAATACTCAGTGGCAAAAGTATGACTCCAGCAGGGAGGACTACATCAGAGGTTTATGTCAGCGGCTGAAGGAGACCACTGGGCAGGGCTTGATGCCTGGTCTGGGTTCTGTCAGCACTGGATTGCTTCATCAGGAGATTTCCAGGCTCAATGGCTTATTGGAGGAGAAGATGAGCCAATGTGTGAGGCTGAGTAGAGAAGTGGATGAGATAAAGAGGCAAGACCAAGAGCACATCCAGACATTGGAGCAGCAGGTTGGTGGTGTTTTGTAGTCTGTATATGTATAATGTGACATCTGATGTTTTTAAGAAATGTAAAAACACTTTTGAGTTAACATGAAACTAAAGGTTTTTTCATTTCCTTCTCAGGTCCTTATCTACAGGGATGACTTTAAGTCGGAGCGCACTGACAGAGAGCGAGCACAGGGCCAAATCCAAGACTTGAAGGAGCAGGTTTATCAGTTAAAACAGCAGCTACACAAACAGGTGAGACAACAGCACTTCAGTGAGGTGGACAGATGCTTCTGTTGAAATGTGTGCTTCCTTCTATGGTCTACCCACATGTGTGGCTTGTGCAATCCTAATGGTGTCTGCACCTCACTGTTTTCAGCAGGGAGCTAGCAGAGAGAACAGAGATGTGGTTCCTTTGTGTCGTGTGCACATAGGACACAGAGTGTCTTCAAGACGACACAAGGACCCTGCAGAGCATCTACTGAGGACAACTGCTGAGACACAGCAACAGCCTGCAGCTGCAGCAGCATCACCAAATCCTGCCTGGAGCGAAAGCGCTGGCCTGTCAGAGTTACAGTGCCCACAATGCCATGCTAAGTTCAATGACGCGGATGCTATAGAATACCTGAACCATTGGGAGGAGTGTGCCAAACTATAAAAGGAATACCACACGTTTTGAAAAGGACAATTTTCCTCTCGCTGACAGTAACTGAACACTGACGAGCATCACTACATGGCAGAAAATTACTTGAGTGGAGTTTCCAATTTGGAGGCTTGACTACAAATTAAACAACTGACTTATGATGTTTTGTACATGATGAAGCAAAACTGTATAACCCTGTTGCAAGAGCAGCAACTTATTCAAGCCTTTCTAGGTCTGTGTAGTTAAAAATCCAGTGTTCTGAGTGTTCTCTTGTAGCAATGCAGGACGTTATTGTGGTGGGGGAAGAGGATGTCGATGCAATATATCATATACCTCAGTGTGTCAAATTACAAGCCTGTTGCACTTTCATTTAGCCAAAAACTAATCGTAATATTGTATGGTTAAGAATAATGATGCATAAGCTTATTTTGGATCTAGATATCTAGGTGATAATGTGGTGCTATTAGTTTTTTTTTTTTATTGAAATGTATTTCTGCCATATGAATTGTATATTAACAGAATTAAAATATAGATATATATATGTAAAACAAATTTTAGTATTTATTCTTTTTGCAGATATAATTGGGAAAAGCTGTTTCGTTTTTAGTACAGTGTAGTGCTGCCGTTTTTTTAAACCAAAGCCATGAATTTTTATTTTTCCTGGTACATAAATTTTGAACTACATTACAACTGGAAAAATGCTTGCTATCCACGTTTGGAAGTTGATATAAATATTGCATCCCAACTGACAACATGCTTGTTTTTGGAGATCTAGTGCTTTTTCTTTCTTGAGCTGGCACATTATTTTTGTAATAAAAGAGTTTGTCCACACTTTTATCTTATGATTATTTGTTTAATTATTACATAATGTATTTTAATTCTTGCGTCAGTTTGTATCCTGGAGCTGTAAACACAGATCACAGCCTAAGCACTACTTAATCTAAGTCTGTGCATGTCTTTTTGTGTGTCTAAGTCACGTGTGTTTGTGTGCAGTGGAAACTCCCTTCCATCATGAATGGGCTCGCTGTACTGTGACAGCCAGATTCCCAGCTGTTGTGTAGCTGAAGCAAAGACTAAATGGGCACTGAGAGGACCAGCAGAGACGGTAGCTCAAGTTACTTTCAAACCCTCAACAACTGCCTGCGGAACACTTAGTGATTAAAATGTTCTGCAGTCAGTCGCTGAGAAGTATCATTTTGACACAAACAAGCCAACAGTGGTGTTTGGTGATTCAGTTGTCATGGGTTTGGGGTAGTAAGCACAGGAAGCTGGACATCCCCTTCTTTAAAAAAGGAAGTGTGCTTTTGCAGCGCATAGAAAAGATGTAGCAAAACTACTATTGTATTTATATGTGAATAAACATCCCTTTGCCACACTATTGTGATCAGATAGTGGCAAATTTAAAGTGAGACTATGTAGCCTTTAGTTTGCTAACATGTCTTTTTGTTAAGTCTATTGCTGCACAAGGTAAATGTAGCGACTATTCGGAAAAAGTTGCTTTAAATGTTATAGTTTTAGATTTTAAAAAGCCCACTTTCAGTTTCTCATTACATTTTCGTCCTTTCATTTAAAGGAAAAGGCTGCTGTTTTGGAAATAAAGCTATTTCCTAAGCACAAAGACCGGTTAGCCTGGCATGTCCAACACCAACAAAACCCATCCACCAGTACTAATAAACATGCTTGGCCTAGGAGGACTTTTTGACCACTAAATAGAGCTAAACCAACTGTTTCTGCCCTCGCTTTTCCATTTTGTACTGTATGTTGGGCTTATGGAAGCAAATGACGGACAAAATATGAGAGGGCACATAAACCATATTTTGAGCACTACTCGTCACTCTGTCCACACCAAATGTTTTGTGAGGGCACAAAACAAGCTGCAAGCATTCTTCAGTTTGCAAATCAGGGGCTTTGAAAGCAAGAGAGGAACAGAACCAGGAGTGCAAGAGATGGTTTGAGTGAGCAGCAGGGATCCTCCTTCACCCTCAAATGTGATTCTGCTCTTACAAATCCATACCTACGCCCTTTCAATTTCTGATTTGCAAACTGGATAGAGCTTGTAACTTGTTTTGTGTGCTTTCAAAATATTTGGCACCGACAGACTTGCGCACAAACCCCAGTGGAGAAATCTGAGAGCACAGACTCAGAAGCAAGTGCACACATGGCCGGGATTATGCTTCAAATGTGATGATGCACTTACAAATATGAGCCTGTGCGTGCTCAAATGCAAACTAAGTAGTGCTCAAAATGTGGATTGTGCACCCTCTGTTTGGTGTGGTTCTACTTCCATATAAGCTCAGATAACCCTACTACTAGCAGTGGCTTCATATTTAAAACACAGGCATGACTGGAGTCTGTATAGAAAGTAAATGTATTTCCAAAAATGTTTTTTCTTTTAGAGAAAATCTTTTGTATTTTTGTACAAGGAAAACTTTATCTTGGTCAATGTTAAATCACTCTACCAATTACTAGAACTAAGGCTATTAACCTTTTTTTTTTTTTAATTGCTTAATATCAGAGGTGTTGAAAAGAACTACTTCTGACCAGGTTTGAAAAGTTTGTAGGTTACATCACCCTAGTTTAGAAGCGTTCAAATGACACCAGGCAACATCACACGGCAACTTACTCATCAACTAAATGGGGAAGATGCATATCTGAATTAGTTTACAATGCATTTAATTCATTTACATAACGCACCAGTCTGGCTCTAATTCATGTACCCACAGAATGATTTCTTACAATTTTGGCTTTAAAGGGCAAGTTCAGCGTCTGGCCTTTAAAGCAACCACATGCACATTAGTAGAAATATACACACACTCTTAAAAAGCCCAGAAGCTGTCTGCTAGGGATTCTCCCCCTCCGCCAGCACACACCTACGCATTTACAGGGTCTATAAGTGACTGAACTTAGACACAAACGCTCTACCCACCAATCTCAGAGTGGAAAAAATAGGTCACAAGTCTCCACCTAACTATCAGGGAGCATTTCTAAGAAACAAAGAGCTAATAAGAAACTTCAGGTGACTGGCAGATTAGTTCCTGCTGGAATCAGGCTGTCTTGGTGTCACCATCATATCCTTTAACAGAGAAGGAAAACTACAGCTTGACACTCATCCAGACAAATACACAATGGATAGATGGGGCCTTTAATCTTCTTTGTATCCTAAAAGAATGGGAATTTCCCATCATCACAAGGGAATTCCCAAAAATACAAGTTTATTTAAAAATTGACTTGTCAACTTGAGCAGATCATTTTAACATATGTTAGTTGATGATGACTTTTTTTTTTTTGGCTTTGTGGAAAGGAAGTGCAAGGTTTTGGTTGCCAGAAAGAGCCAAGAAAGAAGGTGTGAACTCCCTCTTTGGAAGTGTATGTAATCCTGAAGTTTTCCAGGCAGTTGACAATGAAAAGATCTGTGATTACAAGGTGTCTAAGATCCCTTTTAACATACCTATTGGTGCTCACCCCTGTCATTGTCAGAGTGCTTTCAGTGCTCCACTGTGTTTCCTTCATCAGCCGAGACAATTCCTATAGTAAAAATTTTAATCAAGGTAGTATTTCATAAGTACACACTGAATGGGAAAGTGACTTTTACAGACAAATTTACTGAGGGAAAGGGCTGAATTAATCTTTTCATATATCAAAAAGCCATTTCAGTATTTTATATCATGGCCCGCATTAGTTTGTCAGACATTTTGCTTGGTGCTTTTGACTTGTCTACATTTGTGTAGGTTTGTGGGGCATTTGCTTAAATAGGGTAGATCCACTTTTACATCACTGCTGAGTGAGAGGGAGGGCGCTCTACAAACAGCAAGAAAGTCATTCATACCTCAAATAAATTATGAGTCATATTTGCTCTGGTGGTTCTCAAAACCTTTTGTTTTCCCTTACATGAAATACATTTGCCCCTGTTCACTCATTCATCCGATTTTTAACAGTGGTTATTTTGTTCATAGTGAAATCCCTTGGTTTGAAGTAATGGTTACTCATGGAAAAGTTGAGAGGAAGCAGTCGCTGTATAAAACATAACTTGCTTCCTCTTCCACTTTAAACATAAGATCTGAACTTACTGTACTTTTGTAGCACTATAACATAAAAAAAAAAATCAGTTCCACTTCTCATACTATAAAAAGAAAATGTTAATATTAAACATCATCAAACATTGGGCATCTCTTTTTTTGTGTGTAAACAGATGTACTAATTAGGTTTTAGCAACTAAAATAAACTACAAATTAAAACATCAGCTTATTTGTTGTCTTGAATTTTACCCAGTTGTGTCCAAATTAAGTTCAATTTATTTCTGGCCGGCAGAAACAAAAGAAATATTATCTCTTTAATTCTAAACAAACTGGTAGATGAACACCAAGCAAAATTACTACAGCTGATATATGCTTGTTTGCATCTAGATAAACCAAAGCATGACCTCATTTCATGCTCACTTTAACCTGAGGGAATGTACTTGATTTCATAACTGCCCCAGATCAGTTTTCCCTAGAGTTTCATGTGCATATATGAAATAGCATATGTAAATGCATGACAATAGCAGCTGTCTTTTTTAACGTAATTCACAAATGAAACTGAACCTTGGGATCTACATTGGCCTTCTAGAGTGATTTTGACTGTAAGTTAGTGGATTTCCAAAAAGGAACATACGTGTAAGGGTGTGATTCACCCTGCAATCTTGTGTAGCTGCACATATGCAGGGCAGCAACAGTGGGTACAATTCCTGCCATGGTGCAAGAAATAACACTAGCACTGACCAGTTCTTTGCATAGGGGCAACAGGCTGATGAATTTCTTGTTGACTTCATAATGAATTGTCTTTTGTACGGATTAAACCTTAATTGTTTTAGCTATACTGTGTTCAGTGATTAAACCGTCAAAAAACTCTGAAACTCATTAGTCCCTTACATCCCAGTTAACATGATCAAATTGCTTTTGTTGTCTCACCAACAGTCAAAACCTAAATATGTTGCATATACTTTTAGAAGGCTACAAAAAAAGGCCAATTATGCATTTTTGCGAAGCTGTACATTTGAATTTTTTATGTCAGTTCTCTGTTAATCAACTGATCAATGAAAAATAAAACTGATATTAGGGATATGCAGGCATAACAACCCTGTTTTTGTTTTTATAATGCTTCTAATTCTAGGAGTTTAAGTTACAGGCCTAACAGGCGAACACTAGCCTCATTTCACTCTGATCAAACAAGCTCTGCTACATCTGTCTTCTAAGTTTATCTTTGCTCAAACGGCTATGAATAATGCTGTTTCTCCAGTTTGATAACTGCAACCATGTGACACAGGCTGATTGAGCAGTGAGCACAGTGTAAACTAGCTAGAAGCTACACTGCCAGGGCTAACGTAGGCTAATTTCCTCATGGTCAAACCAGCTCCGCCTCACATATTGCAGGCTCAACAGGAAAACAAAAGACAAGTGACCTTATAAGCTGCCTCAGCAAACCAGTTAAGGTAATAACTAATCAAAGCAAAACATTGGTGTAGCAATATACTATGTTTTGCCTATATTTTAAATCAGGCTGCCATGCTCCTTTTCAGTCTGTGCTCTCTCTTCTACCCCTGTTATGAGGAACACCACCTATTTGAGTTTAATTCCTGAAATCATTTAAAAAATATTTGTACAAAATAAATATTTATAAAAGCCCACTATTTGTGCTTGTCTGAATACTGTATTTAGCTCCACCTGTGACATGTAGAGCTACATTAGGGGCCAACAGGTGCCCTCTAGGAGGCTAATCTGACCATGATGCTACGCTAACAAGATGCTTACTGTAGCTTTATAATTTAAGGACAGATTGAGATGTATTGATTTTCTCAACTAACCTTCTGCCAGAAAGAAAACTAGCACATTTCTCCCAAAACACCTTTTTACTTAAAAGTAGGTTATGTTGGGTTTTTTTGTCTTCAACTAACATTATTGCTGGGTGTAGGAAATAAGATTTGACACAAGACACGTTATCCTGCCATACTACTGTATTCCATCTTTCAAAAAAGAAAGACAAGATTTAATATTACTTAACAATATGTTAAAAGTAGCCAGTTTGGCTTCAGTGTTAATACAATATACACTCTTTAACAGATTGATAGTGAGTATTGTTCTCAATTTCATTCTGAAAGTACTCTGATACAAGCTGGCTACAGGTCAAAAAGACAGAAAACAAAAACTGTAACTGGAACACTTTTACTCAGTTTGTTAAACAGAACCAAGAAACCAAAAAAAGAACATTGTCAAGTATTACACCTTCTTCCTTTCTGTGAAATAGGATGTGGTAGTGGGAAATCAGGGAGTGGAGACCAGCTGACCAAGCCCATTCCCTTGTCAATCATGTATATGAAAAAATGTCATGCCAGGGACAGGAAACGATGGGATAGTAAGCCACAAAATCTCAAATACAGCTTTTAATTATTACATTTCTCACTTTTAGTAGCTTCCACTGTCTCATTTTTGGAAGGAAACCAGAGAGAGAACGCACCTTTTTGACTACAAGGTAAGCCAATATAAGAAAATAATTTCCTACCATGGCTTTTTCAGTCAAGAGAAATGCCCAACTCAGACTAAAAGCACACAAGCACGCAAGGAAAACTAATCAGATGTAAAGTAGCTTTTTCGTGATTCTTTGTCATGTCATCTCATTTTTGTTTCAGTTGTGTACGTCGATCAGTCCAGATGGGCCTGTGTAGGAACCACACAGACAAGAACAAAGCAAGGCAGCGTGGGTGTGATTTGGGCACAGCGGGAAAGAAGTTCTGAGAGGACAACAGTTGAGTGGCGGTAAAGGGACGTGGGTAGGGGTTGGATGTGTAGGTTGGTATAGCTGTTAAGGTACTGATTGTGTCCTGACAGTCAGTCACTAACACCCTCAATGTCCAGCAAATGTAGCTTTCTTCAAACTAAAGTTTGACCAGTTGATGGAAAGCCGCTGACGGGTCTGCCGAGCAGAATCCAGGCAAAACCTGAAAAGATATTAAACAATAAAATGATCTTTCTGAAGAGTTGCCATACTACCTCCATTTAAAATAATGAATGAATGCTGCAGAGCTTTCATGCTAACTTTATTAATAAGCATGACTCCATAGTGTGTCTGTAGTGGTCAGGCACTCCACAGGGGAGCTTTAAGGGATAAGGCCAATCATTTTCTATTTTAACAGTATTTTCAACACTCCCCATACCGAGACTAAAACCAACGATGAATTGCCTCTATTCACTGTTAATGTCGGTCTGTCCTCATCTGTGCCATAGACCTCATCAGTATTGAACACAGGAGCTTAATTTAATGCACATACCTTTTGAAATATTCCACCTCCCTCTCCGTTTCATCCATTTCAGTACTATCCAGGTCAATGTCTTTGGGCAAGAATACATCATCTAAAATAAAATACATAGTAAAGGCTCAAAAATATTTACTTTGTATGTGTATTATGAAGTTTGCATCTATGTCGGTCCTGTTCTCTCTGCTCGTGGCAGTGAGTGCAAACGAGAACAGCAATCTGTGGTATGCACACATTCATCCGCCATGGTGTAATGCCATAGTTATGCCCAAGAGATAAGGAAGGAAATATATGTAATGTTGGCAAGTCAGAGTCTTGCTGGTCAAAACATTCTGTTTAGGACAGTTTATATTTCCCTGAGCTAGCACGATGGCTCTGGGACTATTTATTTAAGCAGTGAAGCTTTTCCAGAGTGCGATTAGGACAAAGCTTCTGGGTATACAGAGTTAACACACACCCAATCTTAAGTCTAATTGTGAATCATCATAATACCAACCTATTGAGCTGTTCATCTTGTCCCCCTTCTTCTTTTTGTTCTTTTTGGTCTTGCCTTTGGGCTGAGGGGACTCTGCACTTGGGGGTTTGCCATTCTGTTGGGTCTGCTCAGGCTGGAAGGCTGGAGGGGGAGATGGGGAGGAGTTTGACACAGGTGGACTTCTCCTGTCTTCCTTTATTTGGGTTAGGGATTGTTGTTGCTGCTGCCTTTTTCCACTGTTACTCCTGTCCTCCCTCCTCAGTTCAGTGGCTGGGAGAGGAACTAGGGCCTCAGCAGGCCTTACTCGCGTTGCTTTGGTGTCTGTTGTAGTGCCATTAGCTAGCTTTGCTGTCACATCTGAGTTCTTGAGTAACTCTGGGGCTTTCTTTACTGCAGCCTCACAAGTCATTTTAGCAGACTGCTGGGCCTTAACCTTACTATTGACCCCAAGGTAAGATGTAGATGTGCCATTGAGGAGGGCGACTGGAAAATTGGGGACATTGGTCTCAGTAGAAAATTCTTTGTCTCTGGTTCGTTTTGGGCTGTGATGCGTGTTGGGCTGGGGTATGGGTTCAAATCTGGGTTCTCTCTGCTCAGGGAGGTGCATGAGGGTTTGAAGCAGCTGTGACTTTCCGTTCTGAAGGTTATTTAGGACGTTCTGAGCTGTCTGTTTTAGGGGCTGTGGGTTGTTTTGAGGGGGAGCTGTATTTTCCTTCACTTTCTCTTTCTTTTTTTTCTTGGCAGCACGATGCTGCTGCAGCTCCTGCAGTCGAAGCAATTCTTTTTGAAGTGCTGCCTCTTCCTCTTCCTGCTGCTGTCTCCGTTGCCGCTCCTCCAACACCTGTTGCTCCTCCCTTTCACGGGCCTCTGCCTCCAGACGAGCTTTCTCCTCCATCTGAAACACAGGGAAGTACACTGACTGTAAAAGTCTAGTCTATATGTCAGCTGCATTATGCACCAGCAGAATTACTTTGTTTTTAAGTAGTTTTGAGAAATGGATGAGACAGGGTAGGTTTAAAAATACCTCTGAAATGCCTGAGACTGTTACCTTCTTTTGTTTATGCCTGGCCCGTTTTGCTGCCTTAGAACTGGAGGCAGGTTTACTGTCGGCACTGTTGATAAACTGCAACAGGTCCTCCACCCGCCTGTGGTCCTCCACGCCTCCATCACGTTCTATAACTGGCTGCTGCTCCTCACGCTTTGGCTGCTCCTCCTTACGTTTTGTCAGACGCAAGCGCAGCTTCTCCCTCATTTCTGCATAGTTTCGACTTGTAGGAGCAGCTGGGGGCTGGGATTAAAACCGAGGAATTATGCAAGCAATAAGGACACTATCAAAGTTTTACTTAATATCCAAATGTCAATTTCAAATTGCATCTAAACTTGAGCCTAAAATATCGTGAGGTAGAAATTATGTAAGAAAATTCCAATAACTGTTTTCATCTGCCAAAAATTGCTAATTTGAAGTAAATGTGTTCATGCCAGTGAGTAATAGACATTTCTTACCCCGCCATGCCCAAAGAACTCGCAGTAGCAACAGTCACAGTACTTTGCATCTTTCTGGTTGGTGGAAGTTGAGGTGGAGGAGCTATGCTCGGAGCAGCTGTCCTCATCCTGACTCTCTTCTCCATCATACGGCTGGTGTTCATATGCCCCATTCCCCTCACAACGATGACCCTCACAGTCAGGATCACTGATAGAAAGAATAATAAAACTGGTCCCTACAGATACTTTTTCATCACAATTAAGTCACCTTTCCAAACAAATCAACCTCAGTCTTTGATATTAGGTTTCATTAATAGGGGTCAATCTGTATGAGACTTTTGGATATGGTAGCAGTCTTACCTGCAGACACTGGGTGGGGCACTGACAGGACCATCTACAGAGGAGGCTGGAGGTTCTGCGGGTGGGAGACATAAACCCTGGTGGGATTCCACAAAGTCTGGGGCTGGAGCACCCATCTTTGGAAAGGGCTGTGATCCCATTGTGGGAAGGTGAGTGGTGGGTGCTGGGGGCAATGCGGGGCCTGAGAGCGAAGGCAGGGAGGTTACACCTGTGGAGCTGTTTCTAGGGGGGGCTGGAGTTGGCTGCCGGTGGTCCTCTTTAGCTAGATTGTGAAATACATCATCTAGAGAAAACAAAGATGCAGGACAGGATGAGAGCATGGTTTAGTTCTTCTTAGCCCCAAAACCCGTTTCATTAAAACACATGGTTACAGTTAACATTAGAAAATGAACTAGTATTCGTATTTTTAAGATTAACTTCAAGGTGAAATAATAGTATCCCATAGAGAGCAACACAGTGACAGGGGTTAAACCTGTGTCAGGGTTTTTCCTGTATAGGTCAGTTTTGTTCAGCTTTGGTGTTGCTACCAGGAATGGGAAAGTGTTTCCGAACTTTTGACTGGTCATGTATGTAACTGGCCAAAAGACTGCATTGCAGGATCAAGATGCATTAGAGAAAAGCTGAACCAGTCTCAGCTTCATTGTTTTGATGTGGATATAACTTACTTGGAAAGTTAAAAAGCTAATTATTTTTCTTTCATCTAATAATTGATGCCACATCCCTTTAATAAATCAGTGATGACTTTGGAAATGACTATAATAATAAAAATCCCAATTATCAGTACAAACCTATCCAGAGCTTCTACCTCCTATATTACCTAAAGAGTTGGGTCTTTTAGATGAAAGATGGAGGGGTGGGTTATTACTTGACTGGACAGTGGTAGCAGTGCAGGACACAGAGGATGTGGAGGCGGAGGTGGCCATCACTATTCGGTTGGTCTCCATGAAGGCATCCTGGAAATTGTAGAGACACTTCTTTTTGGCACTGCTCTTCTTCTGCTCTTTGGCTTCTGAAGAGGAGTATGATGACGAGGATGATAAGGATGAGGAAGATGAGGGGAGTAGAGGGGTGGGCAACGAGGGGTGCTCCCCTTGGGGGCCGACTGATGACGTTGCAGGTAGGGGTACGTCAGTGAGGGGTGGTCCAAGCATGTCACCTGATGAGTAAAAACAAGTGTGCATGATGGCGTGATTTTAATAGGTTGACTTGGTATTTTTTATAGCTGGCTGATGTTGTGCCTGAGTGGCTCACCTGGCAGGGACTCGGGCAGCAGCACAGATGGATTCCAGTTCTTCATCACAGCAGCATCCCATAGGTTCTCAAACTTGAGTGAGAGGCACTGCAGAGAGCTGTTCCAGTCACCTGCTCCACCTGCACCACCAAAGCAGTTCTGATAGACGTGCTCTGGTAATGATGGGCTGAAGGCTGGCTGCTTGGCTGCTGAGTGGTTGGATGTAGGGTTTGGGGGCAGAGGCTTTGGAACGCCAGAAGAAAGTTAATTTAAACAAGACACAATTAACATCATTAATTTGGGATTGTGATAAGTACTTATTTGAGATGTTTTGTATTGCCTTCTAATTGTCCTAGACTGGGTTCAGCCTGACCCCCTGTGGCAGACAAAGTAAGTGAAACTAGATACAACTAAGCTGAGTACTGTTCCTGGAACCTTAAAAACCCCCTCTGATAAAGAAAGAAATCAAATTTCCCTTAGACTCTCATAGCTATTGTTTTACACAGTGCATAAAGAAAGCAATCAAGAAAAACACTTTGTTTGGCCTTATGAATGTATGGACTCGAGAACTATCCTCACCTTGTTGTGTGTGAGTGGAGGACCAGGGGGGTAGAGTGTAGGATGCAGCAGAGGCCGGGAGAAGTTGTGTAGGGGCAGGTGGCCATGAATGTGGGGGAAGAGATGGAGGGCAGGGTGGGCAGGGGGAGTCTTGCTGTCTGTGAAGAACTGGTGTCCAACAACAGAGGGAGGCGTAGCGTGGAGCCGACTAGGGGGCAGGCGGGTGGCAGGGCCCAGGGTAGAGGAAACGGGGTCCTGATTGCACACGTGGCACTCACAGGCATGCTGGACCTGTTCTACCTGAGAGTGGTGACACAAATTCATAACATGTAGTCAACTTTTATTCTGAAGAGGGTGCTCTTCAATATAATACAAATTCCTCACTGAAATGTTTTTCACACGTGCATTTTATCAGCTCTCTATTCCTGTTGGGATGGATGCATGTTAGAAAAATATGGGATCAGAGGAATGGTTCTGAAATGGATTGTTATTTGACACAGAGGCTTCAATTTGTGAAGTTGGGTGAATACCAATCGAGTCAGCTGGACATTGTATGTGGAGTACCTCGGGGTTCTGTTTAGGGACCTAAATTATTTATGTTATACCTTATCGACATATGCAAGGTTTCTGATTTAGTGAAAGTGGTTTTGTTTGCTGATGACACTACCATATGGGCATCGGGGGAAAACCTAACCTCTCTGGACGGGTTTCACAGGAACTTGAGAAGATAAAGAAATGGTGTGATAGTAATATAGTATCTCTGAATAAAACTAAATTTATGGTATATGGGAATTGACTAGATAATGAACTTCAATTGAAAATTGGGGGAGCTAATATAGAACGAGTATATGAAATTAAATTTCTAGGTGTCATAGTTGATGACAAATTCTCCTGGAAATCTCATATCAGATATGTTCAGCACAAAATAGCAAAAAATATATCGATATTGGCAAGGGTTAGATATATTTTGGACGGGAAAATTTATTACCTGGTGGAATTCAAAAACTATTTAATGAAAGGGATGGGGGATACAATTTAAGGGGTCAGTTAAATTTAAAAATTCATGCTATACGTACAACCAAAAAAAGATTTTGTATTTCCATAAGTGGGGTAAAACTATGGAATTATTTAAGTGTGGACATAAAAAATAGTAATAGAATTGATGAGTTTAAACATAAATATAAAGGTATGTGTCAATCAGGATATATGCAAGAACAGGCTTAATGATTAATTAGATGGAACATTGTGGGTGTGGTGTATGAATGATAACACTTTATAACAATTCTTTAGTATATTACTTGTGTGGTGTAGAAGATAATTATTTAAGAATGTAATTATGTATCAATGTTAACACTCTGTCATAATTTTTTAGTATATTACTTGTGTGGTGTAGAAGATAATTATTTATGTAGAGATACTGCTTGCAAACCAATGATGGTAAGATGATGTCAGGGGGTAGGACTGGATAAGTCTGACTTCTTCCTACTCCATTCAAGCATGTACTAGGTATAAGCAAATTGATATTGGATTAGCATTTGTTGGATATGTGTAAAATTATGTGTGTTGACATATCAACTGTCTTTACATGCTTGAAAGAATAAATAAATGAAAATCAAATGTTGTAGAAACGGTTGGTAAATGGCTGTGCAGACAAACCAGACTCGCATAACGTTAGGCTATGCAAAACCAGCCACATCATTGTGACAGTCTTTTCTTTTGTAAAAGCAGACCATAGTGTTTGAAAACACCTCTAATGAAGTACAAATATCACCTTTATGCAGCTTGTCCTAGTGGGTTCTGCTGTCCTTTTCTCCTCATTCTGCAATTCGCTAAACAGATCTGACTTTAATGTACATCCATGCATTGGACAATGTCACCGTTTAAGTGGGAATTTGTCTCATTTGTTTGTAAATAGTTGCATTTCATTTTAGGCAAAAAGAAAAAAAATACACATAATAGCAGCATTATATATCAGCTATTGGCCTCTTCACCCTCTTAGGATTGCCACTGACAATTAAAAAACTATTCCCTACCCAGCCCAAAAAGGGACTAGTGTCAATTTGGTCCCTGAACTAAAATGTCCTTTGTCTCCATTGCCATGAATCATAATCATGTGAGTGCTGTGACTGATCGGGGACAGGCCTGAAAGAAGCAACTGTGTACCTGCAACAGGTTTGGTCACAACATTCCTTGAGCAACTGTGACAAAAAGTGTGGTAATACCTGTTGGTGGCTGTAAGAGGGTGGAAGACTGTTGGTCTTTCCTGAGGAAATGTCTTCCTGCTGCCCAGGGGGCTCCCCGCCAACCTCACCATCAGCTTCCTCCTCGTCACCCTCTGATGAACTACTGCTGCTGGTAATGTGAGGAGACTAAGACGAGTAAAACAAAGAAGAATGAATTAACAAGCAGATTAGCAGCAGTACGCAAAACATTTCCCGATCTAACAGTAACCCACTCATGATGAATATCAGTTTCATCATATGGAAACTCAAGAGGGAAATTCACAAGTCTTGGGCATTTTCTTAAAACTAACATACCACAGTACAGAACTCACCCCTGCCTTCAGTGTCATGTTTTCCCCTTCCCCATTGATATCACTGTGCAGGCCATTGACAGCAGAGGTCACAACGCTGTTCTCCTCATAGCCAGTCATAGGGTAGATGTCTCCAAACTTACTGGACAATGGAGGCACTTCATCATCATCACTAATACTAGAAGAACAGTGAAAAGAA